CCCTCGATTAACTCAAGGATGGGCTATTGATCTGAGTTGTTTCTTTGTTCCATTTTCCATTTAGGTTTTTTTTTTTAATTCGTTCTTCAGAGTGGCGTCGAAGGTGTGTGCCTAGTGTTGATGTATTTGGAGCCTTGGAGGCGTGCTAGTGTTGGGTTCAAAGGTGGGGTGGAGACGTGGTGGTGTTGGTTTTTTTTTTTTTTTTTTTTTTTTTTTGAGGTTGGCATGTGACCAAAAATAAGAGAAAAAATGACGATAGATCACGTCTTCACAGTAAGGGAAAAAGGTATAGGTAGGGTGGGCATGTTTTTATTTTTATTTTTTATAACATTAATAAGTAATATATATTTTTATTTCTTTATAAAGAAAATGAAAAAAAAAATGTAAAAGACAAAAATACTTATGACTTAACGGAACAAGTTTAATGGAATTAAAGCAACGGACTTAATCCATAACAAAAATGAAATTTCGTGTACCAAATCCGTAAAAATCGAGAGACCAAATCGGCAGTTTTTTATTATTTTCTTTCTGTTCAATCTCTTAAACATCTCGGTACAAATAAATGTCTAAAATGAAAAGACATCCCATCCCAATCCCCTGTTTCCATCCCTATTCCCTACGTAGATGTGTTCATCAATTGTTGCCATCTTGTTCATGATTATAGTGTCATCGCTCATTTGATGTAATCAAGATTTGCATCAAGTGATTGATGGGATTATAATTAAACTATAACACATGTTAAGAAAATGCAAATAGCATTCCCGTAGAAGTTAACTTGAACTCGAGACCAACAAATGATGGGGTCAAAGGGGTTGCACCCCCTTGCAATGTATAGGGCAGTAACCTTTGTGACGGTCCCAAAACCTAAACGACATGCTTGAGAAATTGACACCAAAGTTTTTTACAATGTCAACATACTTTCAGCATCATTAAAAGCATAAAAACCAAAGTGTCTACTCTCAGTTCCTCAGCATGTTACTTGGTCAACGAGTACCCTCACTGATACTGACAGTGAATGTTGTTAACTGCATTGTAACCACTCGTAACTATATAACCGACTGTAACAATCGTTAACCAAATTATTTTAAAAGTAGTTTTCAGTCTCAATCACAACATAGAAACATAATAAATTCTCTATGTTTTTTTTGGCTTTTTGCCTAACAATTAAAGTTTGTTTTTGAATTATCCCAACACATATTTCATGAAACCTGAAGACATTTGGGGTCGAAAATATTACTTTTGAAAAGTATATTCCACTACATTCAAAAGTCAATCCAAATACGATTCAATCTACAGATCACACAAAATCTTACCCATCTTGCAATCAATTTATTCTTTTAGTACAAAAAATAAACTAAGGACCAAAACAACATGAATCAGATTCATCCTTTTCCATATGTATTGAAAGTAACTAGAGGCATAACCGGATTTTTTTTAAGCGGTAACATAATTTGACTATAAAAAATATCTGAAGATTTTTTTTATAATACTAATATATAGATATGTTGGTTAGTTCCTTGTCCTTGCATATTTTTAAAAATAAAAGAAACATATAAAAGACACCAAAATTTAAACTAAAAATCAACAAACTTGACAATGGTGGGACTTGAAACTCGAGCTTTTGTACAAGGGCAAAAGCATTTATCATCTCCGTATTTAAAATCTTGTGCTAACATTTTTAGTTTCAGAAACTATATGGTGACATCCAACAAAATAATATGGTTGCACCCTTCAGAATCGTACTTTTCCCTATCATGACGGAATAATGAAGCGGTGGCTTATGCCACTGCATGTTTTCAATGTAGGTCTGCCCTTGACACTAACATCATTTTCTTATCTATCACTAATTTTTTAATTAAAAATTATCAGACCAATTCCTTTCTCACATAATGTTGCTATTGTGTTTAAAAAAATCATTTGATAATTTTATATTTATGGGGTTAGGTTCCAATGAAAATGAAAGTTGTGACGATAAGAACAAGAAAAAAATACTTATCTTTGACTCAATCATAATTGAAGAGAACTACTATTTCAAAACTAATGAAATACACTTGATAAATTTTCTTACAAAACGTAATTCATAATTGTCTTGGGATTAAAAATGATCAAGAATCCAAATCTCTTATTACTTTTCTCACTTTAACTCTTATTCTCATATGATATTCATGTTTTGAACCATACTTTATATCAAAACAAAACTTTAAAAAAAACATTTATTATTTAAAAGTATATATTAGTAATAAATAACAAGTTAAAAATAGAAAATATTCCATTGACGTTACATGCAAACGCTTATTCAGAATAAGAAGAGACAACCAATAATACTTTTTTTTTATAAATTTCTTCATTTTCTTGTCTCCTTCCGGTCTCCTCAATATCAATTTTTATTAATTTCTTAGCCACAATTTTAAGTAAGGGTTCGGAAATGTTTATTCGGTAAGTACTTACTAATATAAATCAACACTATCATTTATTTTGAAGCGTAAGAGTTTAGTACATCAAAGTATATCGAATGCAACAATTTACTGGGTATGCACTTATCTGGGTAAGAATCGTCATCCTTACTTACCGGGTAAGAATCTCCATTCCTTCTCATCATTCTTAACCGGTAAGGCTCTCGGCCATTCTCATGTTCATCCAATGAGAAAATTTTTTCCGTAAACACTTATCAAGTAAGTGTTTAGTAAACGACCCCGTAATTTCAAATTAACCATTCTTTAAAGCAAATGCAAACTTCTAACACAAATTTGTAAATTTTGTAATGTAAATGCTTATTTTTTTAATTTCTTTTTATCAGAAAAATGTAATTTACACGAATGTACGAAACATTATTTTAGTCGATTTCACATAGAGAAATGACCAAATAAGGTTTATTTTTTACACATTTTTTAAACCAAATTTATTTTTTATCCAATTTTTTTTACGCATATGTCAAAAACCGACCATCGTGTATATATAGAGTTTTGAGTAAGGATTAACTGAAAAATGAATTTAAGTTAAAAAACTAATTAAAAAGTGGAACAAGGATAAATTTCCACAATTTAATTTGGAGAAGGACACTTGCAGACAAAATTCCACAGCACAGGGTGTCTTCCCCACCACCCCCCAGAGCGTACCTGAAGCAGTAGCATATCACCCACCTCTAATATTCTTCAATTTGGCTTTCAATTCTCTTTAATCCTCCATTAAACTTCATCTATTTTCCATCTTATCAACAAAAACCAATGAAATTTTCCACAAAGATCGTGGTAGGTAGAGAATACACAAGACAAAGAAGAAATTAAGAAAGAACCCTAATTAACACAAAACCCCATCAATCTTACCCCAAATTTATACTACAAGATTTAATTAGTAATCAGGCATTAGCTGAGGAATCTTGCCTTCTTGTTCAGCAGCCCTCTTCTGTTCCTTTGATCTCAACCAAATACAAACCACCGTGAAACTCAGCACCAAACTCAATAACCCACTTCCCAACCCGATCCCCACGATCGCTACCACCGATAACCCTTTACTCTTCATTGGACCCAATGGGTACCCGTAAAGATCCTTGTTTCCGGCATAGGAGCTCGCGTTGAACGCCGGCAGGTTCCCGGTTCTGTTCCCAAGGCTCGCCGGAATAGGTCCAGACAGCTTATTATTCGAAACGTCGAAAACCGATAACCGCACCAACGACCCGAGCTGAGGCGGGATTGTACCCGTCAGGGTGTTATCGTGTAGGTCAATAACGTTGAGGTAAGCGCACATGGCGAGTGACGGTGGGATGGCGGAGGAGAGGCGGTTGGATGAGAGGTTGAGTACGGCGAGGTTGAGGAGGTATTGGAGTTCGACGGGAATAGGTCCCGCGAGGGAGTTGTTGGATAGGTCTAATGACTGTAGATTTGTACAGTTGGAGATGAACGGCGATATGGAGCCCCGGAGGTCGAGGTTTTGAAGGGAGAGCTTGTAGACACGGCCATTGTTGCAGGTGGCTCCGGCGAGGGTGGAAGTGAAATCGGAGCAGGGGTTTGAGAAGGTGGATTTGGTCCAGTTGTGGAGGTTTTTGTTGGGATCATCGAAGGATTGGAATAAATGGGTCAAACAAGATTCATCATTGGGATCCGGCGACGATGGTGGGAGGAAGGTGCATGTTAGCATGAAGAAAAGTAACAATTTGGAAATACGCATATCTGGATGACCAGTGCGCATTTTAGAGAAGAAGGATAGTGATGGTTAATAGAGAGTGAATGGTATTATCGACGTTTTGGAATTTGGGAGAGAGGAGAGGAGGCGTGGGTAGGCACTAAATTTTTTTTTTGTGTTTGGTGAAAACCCAACCAAGAACATAACAATTATAATGTATTTTTGTATTTTTTTTATATTTATTTTATACCATAAAACTTTTATGTATTAATCAAGGTTCTAAACGGCGTGACGTGGTGATCAGGTTAAGTTTCAAGTCTTACGAGTTATGAGGAGGTCTTGACGTCTTCCAATAATGATTAAGGTGTCGTTTACCAAATGTTTACTCGGATAAGCGTTTATCAAGTCACATTACTTTATCGGATGGATATGACAAAGACTAAGAATCTAACCCGATAAAAGCGAAGTCAAGAATCGAGAGTTTTACTCGGTAAGTGAGAGCGACGACTCTTATCATGGTTAGAGCTTACCAGGATAAATTGTTGCATACGATACGTTTTGGTGAATAAAATCTTACTCGATAAGTAAGCGATGGTGTTGAATTTTACCGGTAAGCGCTTACCGGATAAGTTTTAGGTAAACGGCTCCTAAGTTATTAACAATTTAAATTCATATGAAACCATAAACAAAAAAAAGAACCATGAATTAATAATTTGATATCAAATATATAGAGTTTACAAAAATGATATCAAATATAGAAGTAGGTCATTGTTTACCGTCAATGTTTGCTAATCAAACAGCAAAATCAAAGTAATAAAATCAAATAATAGCAAATGAAAGTAAACGAACAATATTGTTTTTATGCTGAGAAATAATATAGGGTTTTTTCTTTTTCCCTATTTTGTTGATCAAGTATATGACTCGTAGAAACTATAAGATTATATTTACATTCACTCTTATTCAAGTTTTAAAAATTGCAAATTTCTTCCCATGCCTTATACTTAGGGATGCTCAAAAACCAGACTAGCCCGATCAATCCAGACCAACTCAAGACAAAATAACTTAACCCGAAGCAAGCCGCTGTCTAATCGAGTTATAAAATCTTCGAATTGTCGGGTTTGAGTTACTTTCATTTTGACCCAACTCAACCCGATATTTTTTTGTTTCTCGAATTTAATATGATTGTTGAGTGTCTGTTTTATAAATTTTATGTATCAACCAATGTTCTAAATGGTGTAAGACGTGACGTGGTGACAAGTTCAAGCCTCAAGTCTTACGAGTTACGGGCGAGGCCATGGCGTTTTCTAATAATGATTAAGTTAATAACAATTTAAATTCATATAAAACTATAAACAAAAGAATAACCATGAATTGATAATTTGATATCAAATATACAAAGTTTATAAAAATGATATCAAATATACAAAGTAAGTCACTATTTGTTTGGTAATCAAACAGCAAAATCAAAGAACAGTATGCGATAGCGATCGAACAAATTTTTCGTATGCTGAGAAATAATTTAGGGTTTTCTCTTTTTCTCCATTTTGTTGATTAAGTATTTGACCCGCATAAACTATAAAGTTATATATAAATTTACTTTTATTTAGGTTCTAAAAATTGTAAATTTTCTCCCACGTCTTATAATTAGGGGTGCTCCAAAACCCATCAATCCGGCCCAACCAAAGACGAAATAACTCAACTCGAAGCAACCAGATGTCTCAGCAAGTTGTAAAATCTCCAAACCGTAGATATTGTGTTGATCTTGGGTTACTTTTATTTGGATCCAACCTAACCTGATGAACCCAATATCCTTTTATTTCTTGATTTAATATAATTGTTGAGTCTTTATTTTATGTACACAAGACAATTACATCATCTAATACCCACTCTATATACATATATTTTTGATCTATTTTTTATATATATGTTCAGTGACTATAAGCATATATTATTTCAAATTATTATTTATTTTATGATCAATTTTAATTCCTAAGTTCCTCACAAAATGTATCAAATATATATATCATGTCATTTGAATACTATTGAAAGAAAAAGTCTTTCCAATAAATTGAATGATAATCAACTTGAATGTATTTAATGAAAAAGGCAGACTTTCTATTGAAAATTTAATGATCCGTATTTTTGTACACGATATCTTACCATAGGTACTGACTGGTCATCTATCCGAACCCTATTTTCGTTACATACTATAATTTCCTTCTGTTATATTAACATTATCTATACTATATTATAAAATATTTGATAAAAACTCTTAAAAACGATTTTTTATGTATAAAATATTGTTTATTGATGCATATTACTTAAAATTCAAGATTACAAGTTGATTATATGCAAGTACAACTTATTAAAGCTTCATGTTTGAATTCGTATAACTAACTGCAAATACACATAATCAAATACATGATAAACGTCATTTTAAACATAAAAAATCTAAAATATAATTAAGATAATCATTGAGTTATAACAAAATAATTAATTATTATCTTTAAGAAATTATTTTATTAAACCAAAAATAAATTAATTCGTTTTTAAAATTCAATTAGATTATAATAAAGAA